GGGGGCGACTCGCGATCTCGCGAGACTGCGCCGCTGTCCAGGGTCCTGGCGCCGGCCTGGGAGCGGGGCCTCCTGAGGGGCAGGCGGGACCCTCCAGCGACGTTCGGCTCCATGGGGGTCATGGAGACCCTCCACAGGGCAGGGGTCCCAAGTTCCACATGGGTTGAGGAGATCTCCTATGGAGGGCAGGAGGTTGAGCTCTTTATCAGCCAGAAAGATTCTGTATGGGTCAAGGAGGCCCTCTGTGTGTCAATGAGATCCTTTATGGAGAGCAGGAGGATGAGCTCTATTCTATGTGGGTCTCCAAAGAGACCATCTGCAGGGCGGGGGGTATCCCAAATGGAGCAGTAGTGTGCTAAGCTCCATATGAGTTGAGGAGACCCTCTATGGAGGGCAGGAGGATGAAGCCAGGAAGACCATCTGTGGGACTGGGGACATCCTGTATGGAGCAGTGGTATGTTAAGCTCCATCGGGGTTGGGGAGACCCTCTGTGGGGTAGGGGTCTGGCAAGCTCCACATGAGTTGAGGACACTCTCTACAGAGGGCAGGAGGTTGAGCTCTATATGTCAGAAAGACCCTCCGTGGGTCAAGGGTTATCCTATAGAGGAGAGAGGTGTGGTAATCTCCACAGGGCTTGAGGAAAGCTTCTAAGGGGCAAGGGTTCATCAGGCTTCATATGGATCAAGGAGACCCTCTAGGGGACATGTGAAGCTCCTTCTGGCACAGGGCCAGCTCCATACAAAGGCTGGGAACTTGCCATGGGGCAGCTCTGGATGAGCAGCACCCAACTGGGGTTACTCTCTGGGATGCCAAGAGCCACCTATCCCAGGGATGGCACGAGCCACCTATCCCAGGGATGGCACAGGCATGGGGTCCCTAGAGCCAGTGCTGCTCCAGGCAGTTGTTAAGGGCTTAGATGCAGGGGAAGTAAATAGGCTGATTCGACTTGCCTGCAATTCCCAACTGGGGCAACTCTCATTAGCAGGAATAGGTTAGAATTCAATATGATCTTGACATGACCAAACTGGGGAAATGGCCCAGAAAAAAATAATTAAAAAGCCATAAAACAAGAGGAAGTGCAAAGCAGCACTTAGAGGTGATCACCAAGGGCCAGGGGAAGCTCTGCTTAAATGAAAAACCTGCAAAAAGGGGTCAGGACAGTGACCTGGGAGTCAAGAGCACCTCAGCATGGGGAAAGGCCACCTTCATCCTGGGAGCAAGGCATGGAAAACGGTCTCTTGCTCCACTCTGCACTGTGAAACCTTGCTAGTGAACTGTGCAGGACATTTCTTTAGGAAAGGCGGGGGAACTGGAGAAGAGTTTGGGAGCTGCACAATGCTCAGAGCAGCTAAGTGACATTTGCAGGTCTGTGAGGCAAGGGTCCCATGGCAGAGCAACCCCTCACTCCAGCCCAGCACCTCAAGAAGGTTCATACAGAGGAGATTATGCTATTTTCAGTGTTACAGAGCTTGGCTTGCTCCAGGGACATCTTCTCAGAGGGGATGGTCATGCCCAAAGCCACTATGAGGTGACTCATAGTACAGATAGGTCTGCACTGACTCCTTCCTGGGAGTGCTCTGCCCAGCCAGCTTATCTTGTGCCTTCTTCCAGCCTAGGGCAGCTACTTGCTTCCAATACCCGCACAGGAGCTCAAACCCAATCTCTTATTACCTTAGGTACTCACCTACAGCTTCAGGTGTCAAAGGAAGGGCCATTTTCACTAGGATTCTCTAGAGAAGGGAAATACCAGTGCTACCAGAGCACAACAAGGACAAGTAGGACCTAGGGGATATCACAGCCATGGGCTGAATTTAAATGAGCTCCTGGGGTGGTCCAGGTGAGGGTGCTCATGATCATTAAGGCATATTAGTGCCCTCGAGAGGCTGAGGCCTCCCTCTTGGATTTTGCTCCTGTGCTGAAGAGCTCAGCTCCTGCCCAGCTCTATAGGGACGGTCATGTCCCCAACTGGTGTGGCTGTCAAGGGCTTTCCCAGGTTAGTAATGATGTGTGTGAAGCAGAGCTGGATGTGGCAGCTCAGGGCTCGCCCCTGCCACCCTGTGGGTCTCTGGTTTTGGCATCACAGCCTCCCTAGAGGCCGGTCCCAGCTCACATATGGTGCTGCAAGGAGGTCATGCACTGGCTGGGTGCAACGTGACAACTGCCTGAGACTCAAGACGGGCTGATGTGACGCAGAGATGTCTGGCAGCACCACAACTTTCCTTGTATTGGGTGCTCGGACTTTCCAAACGTCTCCCATGTCTCCTAGGAAAGGAAACGCAGAGGGGGAGGAGGAGGACAGGGGCTCGGGTTGCTGTGCGCTCCTGCTAGCTTGTATGAACATGCTCCCTTTTTTGTCCCTGTCACTTCTGTCTCTGCATTGCTGCCCCTCTTGTTCCCTCCCTGGACTCCATCGCCTGGATGTTTGGGACAGGCAGACGGGCAAGACGCAGGGTGCCGGTTCCCTGGCTTCTCATTGCTCCCTCCCCGCTTTTCCATCCGCATCTGCTGCATTTCTAGAGGCTCCGCCACGCTCCGTGGCTGAGCTAGCTGCGGCTCCTCCTGTGCTCGCAACAACCCAGCCGTTCTCTTGTCCTCCAGCAAGGGAGATGGCAGGCTAATGAATGGCTTCGGATGGCAATTAGCAGTAGAGCAGCTAATAATGGAGCACATTTGCATCCGAAGCGCTGTGGCGGAGAAGGGGGGGAGCCGTGGGGGGAGCGCATCCTGCCATCCATCCTTGCCGTGCGTTGGGAGCTGCTGTTGCTCCGTGGCCACCTCCAAAGCTCCAGGAGAGCCGCCTCAGCACCGGGACTCATCCTGCTGCAAAGCTTGGCTCCTTGCTGTGTGCGCCGGGCTCCCGAGGGGCACAGGGCTTTTGTGCTGATACCATGTATTTCTGGAGCGACATAAATGCTTATCCCCATTTTTTCCCCATTTGCGCGCCTATAAAGTTTATGTGCAAAGTTAATGAGAGCTGCCTCAGTTTCCTGGCCTTCTATTGGGGGCCGATGCATTCTGCGAACGGTGGCCAAAATCCTGCCCGTTTATTTTCTTGGCCTTTTGGCCTGAAGATGCATCTCCTAAAGGCAGCGATTTCCAAGAGAGGCTTAATCCAAGACAGGAGCAGAGAAACTTCCATGGGGCTGTCACAAATACTCATCATGCGCAAGGGGGGAAAACAACACTGCGTTTCCTAGCAAGCAGTTCACGCTGGGGATGCGGTGCCCGGGTGAGCTCGCTGCCACGTAGCGCTGGGCAGGACGTGGCCGCAGATCCAGGGCAACCTGCGGCCATGCTCCTGCCTCGGTTTGCCCATCTGCAGCGAGGGTGGATGCAGTTGTCAGTCCGGTTGGATGCGTGTTCTCCAGGGGCATTGGTTTTGCTGCTCTTTGGTGGTCCCTGGTAGGCCCCAATGTCCTGGCACTTGTCCCCTAGGCTAGGAGGGGGACTGCCCGGGACCTGCCCTCCCACGGGTCAATGCTATGGTGGCATCAGCTCCATTGATTTATTTATGTGTTTTTTCAAAGGCTGCCAGGGTGAAACCAATCCAGGGGCCTCCAGAGGCCGATAAGGTTGGAGCGCAAGTCAATACTCGGGATGTCTTTCCACTGTGCAATGATCCCATGCAGGCACCAGGGGAAGAGGAGGGGACAGGTGGGCCGGGAGGTGACAAGGGCAGCAGAAGGGCACGGATGTGGTGTGGGGCCCGCTCTGGGGGCAGAGAGGGGTGATGTTTCAGGCCCCTGGTGCCCTCGGGCATGCGGCTCTCCATGCATCCCGGCGCACCGCAAGAGGCAGCCCCGCGGGCGGTTTTCCGTGGCCCCGGGGCTGCGTGGACTCTCCGAAGCCTAGCGAGGGCTGGGAGCCCGTGCCGCAGCCGCCCGCGCGCCGCTGACATTCACGGTGAGCGTCCTTGAGCGCAGCGAGCGCTCGGAGCAGCGCCAGGTTCGCTTTAAGGGGCAGGACTCTGGAGCCGAGAGCCCCTTTTGCCTCTCCCTTCCACCTTCCCTTCCCTCCGGACAGGGATGGAGCCAGGCGCTGGGCTGGGAGGCTGAGCCAGGGGAGGAGGAGGAGGGAGGAAGGGGAGGGAGAGGGGGAGGATCTGCTAATTACACACAACAGCTCTGGGGGCTGCTGAAGTCCAGAATGAAGCGCGGAGCAGCAGACGCGAGCGCTGCAGCAGCAGCGCCGGAGCCCAGGCATCGCCGCGGGCTGCCAGGCAGGACACGTGGCGCTACATCCCGGCTTCTCCGTGTCACCGGCTCCGGCACAGCCGTGGCCAGCACCCCAGCCAAGACGGCGCTAGGGGCTGGTGGTCTTGGGGCGCCACGTGCCAGTGCCCGGGGTCCCGCTGTCTCCCTGCCGCCCCAATGGCCACCGGCTCCGGCGACTCCAAGCCCACCGGCCAGCCCAGGATGGAGAACTTCCGCAAGGTGAGCACGTCGGAAGAGGAGAGCCCCTTACCCTTCCCGGAGCTGCCGCCCAGCGTGGTGGAGATGAAGGTGAAGGAGGGCAGCAAGATCCGCAACCTGATGGGCTTCGCCTTGGCCCACATGGAGCACAAGGGCAGCCGGCAGATCGTGTTCAGCGGCTGTGGCCGCGCCGTCACCAAGACCATCACGTGCGTGGAGATCATGAAGCGCAAGCTGGGCGGCCTGCACCAGGTCACCAAGGTGCGCTACCAGACGCTGCGCGAGGTGTGGGAGAGCGCGGAGCCGGCGCCCGGCGGCACGCCGCACCACCTCACCGTGCACAAGAACGTGCCCTCCATCTGCATCCTGCTCTCCCGCGACCCTCTGGATCCCAACCAGATGGGCTACCAGCCCCCGGAGCCGGCCGGGAGCCCAGTGGCAGCAGGAG